TCAGGACATTGTTACAGTAACATGTATTTTCTGGGTATCAAATTTGTATCAATTTCCTACTGGTACTGCAACAAATTATTGCAAATGGATTTGCTTAAAACACAACAACTTCTGTTGACTTAGATTTCTGGAATTCAGGAGTCACAAAAGTGTCTTGGGGATAAAACCAAGATGTTGGCCAGTTGCTTTGATTCTGGGAGCTCCTGAGGAGAATCTTGTCCCATCCAGTTCCTGGCAGGCACCTGCATCCCTGAGCTCTTGCCCTTATTCTCACATCAGCATCTGCCCCTGCATCTCCCCGGAGACTCCCACTCTTTCATTCCCTCTGGAAGGACCCAAGGGATTAGACCAGTCTACTTGGACAATGTAGGGCAATCTGCCCACTCTGAGAACCTTACATTAATTGCATCTGCAGCAACCCTTTTGTCATAGGAGGTGGTTAGTCCTAGGCTTGGGAGAGCTGTGCATTTTCTTGAGGTTTACAATGCTATCTGCCTCTTCTTGGCACACCTTCTGCTGCAGTATTTCCATGGAAACAAGAAAGTCTTTAGTCTTTAGTCATCTTGTTGTCATTGAAGTTCCAGTCTTATTTAACCCTTGTTTTAGACTATGTTTTTCAGACTACAAAATCAATTTGTATCTTTCTTTTCCAAGTGAGAAGACTGAACTAAAGAAGTTAGGCACTTAAAAAAAGATTTTATTTATTGTGTATACAGTGTTCTGCCTGCATGTATTTCTATACAACAAAAGAGGGCATCAGATCTCTATATTATAGATGGTTGTGAGCCACAATGTGGTTGTTGGGAATTGAACTCATGACCTCTGGAAGAACAACCAGTACTCTTAACCTCTGAGCTATCTCTCCAGCCCTGACACTTTTTACAAATATCACACAGTTAATGATAAAGTTATTCTGGGATTTGTTTATTTAGACTAAGGTACCTTTTACATGTGAGTGATCCTCTGGCCAAACAGGAATCCAAATTAGTGAGTTTGGAGTCCTAAGCTCTCAAATGTGACATAAAACCAATTGGGAACAATGATCTTCACTTGCACAGCACTCTTTTCTTTCTCTTAAAATTAAGTTGTTGTGCAGACATCATGTCCCATTTGTTAATGCTTGAACTGACTTAGCAGAATTTATAAGTAAAAATGACGTTGGACCTTTGGAAAACAAATACCATGTGCTTGGGTCTTCCAGTAAATTCAGTGACTTTCAGCCAAAGGCGGGATTCTGAACCCGTTGAGCTTCATTCACTGTAGCTAAAATATTAAGGCTTTGTATAGGTCTACGACAGTCAGCCATTCCATAAAAAGGTTTGAGCTGGGTTCCATGTGGAACTTAGTTACCTGTTAGTGTACTCTGTCTGGGTCCAAAAGCTCAGATCAGAAGAGTCCTTCTATCTAGACAAACCTAGACCATTTGGTCAATGTGTAAAAATAGCAGAAATATAAATGTATTGCATTTGCTCTTGAGGGGTTTATTCAAACAATTGCCACCTGTTAGCAGTTAGGGACCATTACTGGTGAAGTAGCTGTCCGGAGGCTTCAGACTGATTATCAGGCACTTTATACAAACAAGGTATGAATAATTACTAAGATGCTAGTTGTATTATACAAACCACTGTGGTATATAGGTTTGCTGGAACCATTTTTACAAAGTCTTTACAACATACCTAAGTAAATCCTGTCTACTGGTCTCTGCACACATTTTTCAGACCCCTTTGCCCCCTGCAGTATGTATGTGACATTTCCACTCTCACAATATGTTAAAAGAAGATTCCTATTGAGCATCTCTTGCCCAAATACTACTTTAAGCTGTGCTAGTACAGTGATTTTCTGCAGGTGGGCAGCTCTCAGGAGCAAGCATCTGCAGTGAACAGTGAACCCCACAAAGGCAACTAGAGCACTTTGGTCCTCCTTTATGCCCCTGATCCTGGCCAGCAGCAGGGAGGAAATATCCCAGGGATGGACAGATTACCCAAGGTGGGAGTCTTACTTTTATGGGATCTATTTTGACAACTGGAGATAAACTACAGAGATCCTAAGTTCTAGACCCACAATGGCCAAATGTACAAAACCAAAGCAGCTCAGAGGAATAGGGAATGGGGCTGCAGTTCTCACCATGTTTGCAGGCAGGCACACATGGACAGCAATGGGAAGCTGAGTGTCCAGCTAGCCTGCATACCCATGGGTTTGCTAGAGTAAGAGCCAGTTAGCAGGGCTGGTTGAAATGAAAATGGCCAGAGAGAGGCCCTTCCCTTGGCATCATCTCCAGATATGACCTCATGGAAAGGGGGACCACGAAGTTGCCATTCATGTCATTTATGTCATTCAGGGGTGGCATAGAACTGGGTCTCTTAGTTGATGTCTCTTGTGCTGTAGGTCCTCTCCCGCCACACTGCTCCCAGTGATGGTACCCCAGTGTTCCTGACAAAGTGCAGGCCACAGTGGCACAACTCCCACAGTCTTCTCCTTTCCTGTGATCACTGTGACATGTTGCTTGGTGCGGTTTCTGTGTCATGTGGCTTCCAGTTCCATTATTGAGTCTGTCTTTTCATGGGTCCTTTCTCTAGTGCATTTCCTAGTTTACTAACAACCAGGCAGCAGCTTTATAGTCATGTGATACTCTTCTCAAAGGCTGTGCTTTTTAAGTCCTCATTTTCCTAATTCAGGTAAGTTAATCTCTGTATACATTGCCACTCCAGTCTTTGACAATATCCCCCTTTCCTAGTGTGTAGCTGAAAACTTTCATTTCAGTTAGCAGTCCTGTAAAATAGTTTTAAAAAGGTTTAAGGCCAGTCCGTTGGTTCTTAGCTGTGCTGACAAACATGCACATCATACACATCAGAGTTTTACAATTAGTCTCTCAAAGTCATGACTGAGAGGGATTAGTGATGTGGGAGATAGTCCTACTAGAGTATGTAGAAAGATGCATTTTTATCAAAATCAGAATGTACACACATGGCAAAACTCCGGATGACATATACCAGATGAAATGTCAAGTGAATGGGACCTGTCTGAACGTTTGTGGTTCTGTGTGTATCCTCTGCTCTATGAGTATGTGTAGAATTTCATCTTCAAAGCCATCGCTACATCTGAAGCTGAGGATGAGAACTGGTAGTATATCTGGTCACCCTGTACTCATGGCCCTTGGTGACTCACGCTTTCCCCTGGGGTTGTCCTGTAGAACAGTGTCAAAGAATCTTTTCTTCTGAGCTGGGCATTGGTGGCGCACATCTTTAATCTCAGCACTCAGGAGGCAGAGGCAGGCAGATCTCTGTGAGTTTGAGACCAGCCTGTTCTCCAGAACGAGTGCCAGGATAGGCTCCAAAGCTACATAGAGAAACCCTGTCCCAAAAAACCAAAAAAAAAAAAAAAAAGAAAGTTTTCTTCTGTCAGGCATGCACTTGCATCCTGTGTGTTCAGTGAATGGCTAGATTGGCTATTCAGCCTCCAGTGGCCACCTGTTATTGATGTTACCAATTAAACACCAGGTTAATCTGTTTTAACAAAAGGAAGTGATAAAGACAAAAAAATGAATGTTTTTGCATTTCTTTTGCATCCTGTAAGCATGAACAACATCTCTGCTTAATATGACAAGCAATGGACAACAATGGGTTATTATCTGCTCCAACAAGCATAGGAAGCCCAAGGTTTCATAGTTTATGTAATTAATTTAATTTTAAATAATGGAAAAGAGCATAAGAAACAGAAAATAAGCACATTAGTATAATTTAGAGTTTTGCTGAATTAGTAAAAACTTTGTAGAGACATGAAAACATGGGTACCGTTGTTTTCTTTGTGTAACAAAATGCCTGATGCTATGTAATACACAAAGAAAAGAGATTTATTTAGCTCTTGCTGTGAAATCTGAAAATTCCTAGGTCATCTGCGCCACTTCTCTAGTGAGGTCTCTGTGATGATCATATAACAGTGGCAGGAAGATGTGTAGAAGAAACCCATGGTGGGATGGAAAACCAAAGAAATTCAAATGTTAGCTTGGCACTCTGTAGCAAGCTACTCTTGCAGGAACTACTGGAGCTATTGAAGAATTAACTTAATCCTTCTTTACGTGGTTCCCTTTGTGACCTAATCATCATCTTCTGGGTCTCACTTCTTAAAGGCTGCAGCTACTCTATTCTACCACACTAACGATTTCTATCACATAAACCTGTGGTGGGCCCACTCCACTGTGTTTGGGCCTCAGCATCCACACACTGTGGAGAACTGTAAGCGTACCATTTTACAGAGCAGAGCCTGCATTCATAATTTAGGCACTAGATGCTATAGGAGCCTCTCTGTAGGCAGAAGCCAGCAGCTTGAGCTCCACTCAGCTTTACATTCTGAGCCTTGCTCCAGCTGTGATACCCTGTGGTAGCTGTGGTGACCTCCATATGCTACCATGGGGATGGAAATTAATGTGGCCAGAGCACTCCCACAATGTCTGTCATACCATGAGCAGCCATGGTTATCAGCATTGTGGTCAGTGGCATTTTTATGTGGAAGAGTAGGTTTGAATTAAAAGGATAATAATCAGGTTGCCCCAGAAAATTGCTATTGCAATACAAATTCTTTTTGTGGTCCATTAAGCAATGAAAAAAGCAGGTTCTGGTAAAGATTTGATTGTACATTTTATCTTACATTTGTATTTTTTGAATGTGTGAAGTATTTAGGAAAATAAATATATTTTTGGCCTTGTCAAGCAAAGCATGCCAGATGATGATGAGAAAGAGGTAGGAAGTGGTAAATCATTGGAAAAACACTGGAGATGGCTTTATGAGCAGTGATGATTGTGCAGGCCCGTACATCAGGCCACGGGGTTCCTGAGTGCTTTGGATTCACCCTTTTACTCCCAATGACACTCACTTACAGCACAAACATGTAATTTAGGTGGGAATAGTTAGACCATTTTATAAGGATATTTATCAAAATTTTAATGCAAATGGATTTATGAGATGGAGAGCAGGCCCATTTGACCATCTCTTTTTACTTTGCAGCCTGACTATCTCTGCCGAGTGCCCAATGCAGCTTGAGGACTTCCCAATGGATGCCCATGCTTGTCCCCTGAAATTTGGCAGTTGTAAGTTATCTTCATGTGTAAGAGTGATGGGTGTGCCTTGGGGTGAAATTCATATTCATCTAGAACTGGGCTCAGTCTGTGGCTATATGTGGTAGGATATGGTTTATTTGGAGGTTCTGGGTGTCTATAATCCTCCAAATGTGGTCTATATGAGAACTGGAAGTGTGAGCATCCATCATAGATCCGGGTTAGCTGGTAACGTGTGCAGACACAGAACAGACTAGAATGCGAACCTCTGGAGTGAAAGTGTTTCCTTACATATCAGTATTAGCAGCCCCTCTTCCCAGCTTTTCTTTGCAAGTGGCCCCTCTTCCCTGTGCTGCTTTTTTTTTTTTTTTTTTTTTTTTTGTGCCTCGGGTTACAATCCTCACACTTTCAAGTACAGAGTCAGTGAAAATTTTTTTTATTATTGCATTGCTATGCTGACTCCCTTGTAGACTATTTGGTAAGTGCAGTAATCTTGTCTTTCATGTGCATGGTCCCTACTCATTCAAAACACTAGAATTATAAGACAGTGTTACTTGAGTAACTAGTCAAATCAAAATACATTAGTAAACACTTCTCAGATCTGGTGGATATTCCTGGGTTCCAGGCAATTTGTATGTGAGGGATGGAACTGAGGTGACTTGAACTTCCTGCCTTCTTTTTCCTCTATGCTCATATGACCCAAGGCTCTTCTCATTTAATCTCTTCCTGCACCCTAGTGCCCTGAACATGCTAGGAAGTACTTTCTCATGGGCTTTCTGTTTATTTTCCATTTTTACACGAGTCTCACTAAGAAACCCAGGCTGCCCTGCATGAGCTCTCTCTACAGGCAACCCTTAACCCTGTAGACCTCCTGCTCTAGCCTTCAAAGTGCCTGGCATTATCGACCTGTGCAGCAGATGGTTTAAGGTTGCATTTTCAAAAACAGACTGTCTTTTTTTAGATTAAGCTTGAAAAATAGGAAACAGTGAACCTTGCATTCACTACCTCTTGGCCAAGTGCATGTGACATCATTCAGGCTTCTCAAGCTTCCACAATTACTGCATTCACCACCCCGCTATGAAAGATTTGGGCATGAGTGTGCTCAAGTCACTTTGATTCTTGCTCCTTTCAAACATCTCTTTGTCTTTGATAGATTACTTATGATGTGATTTAGTGTGAATTTCTTGTCTTTTGAGAGTCAGGGCATCTTTTTGACTAGGTCCTGGGTTTGGTATTTTTGCCATTTATTTTTTAATTTCATTTTACTTTCCTTCCAACCACATTTCTCCCTCCCAACCCTCTCACCTAACACCTAGCCCACCCTTAGTCCACTCCTCCTCACAGGTAAGGTCTCCCATGAGGAGTCAACATAGTCTGGCATGGTTGGGACAGGGCTAGGCCCCTCTCCCATGCATTAAGACTGAGCATGGTATCACACCACCTGAAGAAATCTACAGAGACAGCTGAACCAAGCTTTTGGAAACTCATGAACTCTAGACCTACAACTGTGGAGACTTCAAGGCACCTAACTAGGCCCATTATATGTGGGAGACAGTAGTGAAACTTGGATTAGCTGAGGGGCCCCTGGCAGTAGAACCATGATACAAATCCTGCATTTGTTTTTCCATCTCTTTCCACACATTTAGACATTTCAGCCTTCCTTCTGTCTTCTGAAGTTTCATCATGTTGATTCAGTTGATGGTGTTTTGGGAGTCTCTTTAATGTCTTTCTCATTCTTTTTATACCTTTGGTGGAACAATTTCCAATGACATATCTTCAATTTCACCAATTGTTTCTTATAATTTACCTAGTCTGCTGTTGGTTCACTTAATTTTTTAGTTACAGTCCCTCTCTCTGTTATTTCTGTGTGGTACTCTTGTATTTTATGCCTCTATTGAAATTTTATTTTGCACATGTGTTACTTCTCTGACCTTGGGGAACATCTTAATACAGTGGCTATTTTGAAGACATTGTCAGGTAACTCATGCAACTTCATTTCAATTGAGTCTGTTTGTAATCTTGTTCCATTCTTTGAAAATGTTCCCTTATTTTCTTTATCCCTTATTATTTCTTTACTTAATTATACTGACAAATGTCTTATACAAAACATGTTTTTATTATTATTTAGCTTTCTGTCAATGTAACAAAATATTTACCATAACCAACTTATAAACAAAAAAATGTATGTTTTGGATCACACTTTTCTGTGGCCATTTGCTTTCTTTGGGTCTGTAGCAAGATGGCATTGTCCTATGTAGTACATGACAGAACAAAACCACTCATATTACAAGCCAGAGAATGAAGAGAAAAGGAAGCATGTGGATTCCACATTTCTTTCAAGGGCTTACCCTCAATGACTTAAGTACTTCACTTAAGCACCATCCCAGTACAGCACCCAGGGGATCAAGCCTTTAACACATGGACCTTTGGATGAACTCGAAGATCTTACTGTAACTGTCTACCAGTCTTTCTGACCTGGCCATGGTTCACCAATCCTCCTGGCCAAACTCTCTAAGCCTTGTCAAGCTTGGTGCTGGTCTAAGCCACCTGCTTTACTTTAAGCACTCCAATGTGTCTTGTGTATGCTTGATCCTCTTAGGACCCAGAGACAAGGAATATCAAACCTGCTCCTCAGGCAGCAATCCAAAAAAAAAAAAAAAAAAAAAAAAAAAAAAAGGTTGGATCATTGCAGTCTCCACCCAGCTCTTTCATTCTCCAGAGAATCTGATATTTGATCTTTGGACTCTCTGTTCAGTCTCTGATGGGTGGAGGAGGGATCATGCTGGCCAGATGTGAGCTACGTCAAGCCTGACTCTTCACTTCCTACTGGCTTTGCTCTGTGTAGCCTGTAGAGGAGTCAGCACAGTCAGCCTGTGGCCTATTTCACCCAGTTTCCAGATTCTCTTTCAAGTGTACATATTTGTTGCTGTTTTTTAGTATCTTGAACTATGCTGAGTTTTGGGGAGCAGCTACAGTTGCTATGGCTCTCGCTTCCAACAGCCCAAGCTGCAGTATTGCTCACTGGCCCAGTGACTTCTTCTGTGTTCTGAGCTACCTGCAGGTTTCCTAATTCCTCCAGTTCACAGCACTTAATGTAAGATGAGCCAGAAATCTGTCCCTGAGGAAGCACATAGAAAGGTCTGGATGCATGCTCTTATCAATTACATTGCAGAGGCTGTGAAATCTAGACTGAACACATAATATACTACCATGTAAATATATTTGTAATGGTTATATATGTAAATATATTTTACCTTTATATTAAAAGAGTATATATTCCATATTTAAAATATCACACACACACACATACACACACACACACACACACACACGCACACGCACACGCACACGCACGTGCATGCATGTTTGTATGCAGTTACTTGGCAGGGTTCAGGCTTCAATCTCAGCCTTTCCTGGCTTCGGGGTCTTGATGAGGGGGAGGTTTTGGGGTGACCATGTGCATCTATATGCATCACATTTCCAGCTCCTGTCTGGGATCTTCCAGCGGTACTGCTCTTGTGGAAAGAACTCTTCAGCAGGACAGAAGAAGCCTGCTTGGACTTATCTGCCTTGCAGCACTGACTTACAGCTTCCTTCCAGGTGTCAGTGATCCTCAGTATTTCTAGTGCCTCCAGTGCCAAAGAGTGATTTCTTACGGGGGTTGCCTGATCTCTTCCCTCTGCCATTTCTGGAAGTAAGCTTTTCTGATACAAAGGGTTTCGTTACAGATTACCCTATGCTTCCAAAGGAGGCCTGGTTAAGGGGATAAGTATGTATGATAAATGAAACATCAGGTGGAAGGAAATCATTCATTTTCTTTCAGACTTCTACCACCAAGTGCTACCTTGCGATTATGGTGTCTGTTTCTTTGGGGGCATGATATAAAAGACTGTCACCACTATTTCTCAGAATCATTTGCCGGTGGCAGTGAACACCAGTGTTGATGATGAGGTGCCACTGAGTCTGAAGTCCCCTGGTAGGTCACCTGAGATTGCTGAGTCCCATGCCTGATGAAACAGTAATTGTTCATATCTCTAGAAGAACATTAACTGTAGTTTAAATTTATACTGCTCTTTATATATGAAGATTATGCTTTGATTTGATCAAAAACAAAACACAAAGACTATTTTTGCCATGCTAAGAGACTGCTCTGGCCACTGGCTAAATGAATTCAGGCCACTATGATCCCAGATTTAATGGCAATGACGTGCAGGGCAGACAACTCAAAAGCAATTTTGGATAAAGAAAAGTATTTGACAGCTTCATTTTTTCATCACTAAAATTATTTCATACTTGTCAGGCAACCAACTGCAGGGAAATCACTTCCCACATTCAGAGATGCCTGCTTACCTAATGGAGGATCCTCACTCCACACACGGAGAATAAATAATATGAACATCACACATAAAGCAATGCCAGCAGGGAGAATTCTTGACCTCAGTAGAGATTTGAGATTGCCATGTCCGATTTCTTTTAATGTTCTTGATACCATGAAGATGGATTTGATTTGAGTCTAGTGTTGATGGTTTATTTACATTATGTTATTATCACCAGTGTGTTATGCAAACCATCACATAAGCATGTTTATATACAACTGAGTGAGAGACAGAAAATTCTAGAAAACTACCTTCCCTCAGCTCATAAGTTTAACATTTAGAACACACTAATTTTAACATAAGAAATGCTATCCAATTAAATGTGTTTTTAGTTGTCTTTTATCTTTTAGATTTGCTAAAAAAGAATAGATGCTTAGCCAGCTTGTCCATGTATACTAACTACTTATGCATGTGAACAGCAGAAGCTAAATGTGCAAGTATAAAGAGTTAAACTACCCAGTTCAACCGTTCTTGGCTGTTAGGAGACAAAAGAATGCAAATGTGTGTCGCTGTGTGTGTCTCTTCGGCTGAGCCACATGCGCAGGGTCCTCTGGTTCTCGGGGAGCAGAAGTAAGCCAGCCATGCTTCACTTCTGCCTCTCCTGTCAGTGTTGAAATCAGTTCTAGTTTATAGACAAGGGTTCCTGGATGGTAAGGA